ATAAAAGGTATCAACTGTGAAAATTTCAAAATTTTATTTTTAGCGGTTTAGACTGTGGGTTGATAGGTCAGTCAGGACAAGCCTCTTTATACAGGGTGCGCCAGAACTCGCGCCCCATAGAAAAATGCCATATAAGGTAAGATACCAGAAACATGGAAAAAATGTTAAAGAAAAATTATCTATAAAAATTTCAAAGTTATGAGAGTTTAAATGTTGCACTTAGACTCTATTTATTTCTGTTGGAAAAATAATATTTTTCAAGTTTTTTTGCTATTGGTTATTAGAAGAGGAAACAAGGAAGCTGTATCCTAAATTGTAACTCTGTTTAATGTTATTTGTGGCTTTTATTGGCAAAATTTTTATACTTTTATACAAGATATACAAGATCATCATTATCATTAAATAGACATAAAAAAGGCAAATGTCAAAAAATAAATGTCAAAAATTTTTGACATAAAATTTTTTAAACATTTTTTGTTCCTGGTATCTTACCTTACTTGAAAATTTTCTCTGGGGCGCGAGTTCTGACACACCCTGTATTGCCACGAAAACCAACAATGATAAAATGTTGAAAAGAAGCCGCGAAAACCAACACCGCGTTCGGTAAAAAATGAAAAAAGATTGTCTACCACTGGATTTGAAAAAAAAAACAGTCTCGAACCCCTAATTAAAAACCGATTATAATCTCGAACAACTCTTTCAAGGATGTTCTCTAAACGATGACACATTGTCCCGATTGACCGATTCGTTCGTAGAACATGTCGAAAAATTTTAAATGTTCCTGGAATGGTGTTAGAAGAGGAAAGGCATCGCATTATCTATTTATGCATATTAGTTGGGTGCGTAAATCACTCGGTAGAACCATGCTGTTGGGTTGGATGTAGCACGAAATGGTGATTCGATGGAACCAGTCTTCACAATAAAGACGTATCTGTCAGTTTTTATGGGCGGTGCGAGGCGCCCCGTCGCCCCATCCGCCCGACAATCTGGCCTCGCATCTTTCCAGCAGTACCACAACAGCAGAGCCGGATTTAGCACGACTTGGATTGGTATTGAAAAATGCAACCGGCAGAAATAATAACTAAAGTTTTTGTCATTTGACGTTTGCGGTACCCAAATTGCTTGAAAATAGCACTAACTGCATTAGTTTTGTTGAAAAACGTTGAACTACAACAATTTCTCCCAGAATGCAAAGTCAATGATGGTAAAAATGTAGCATTAAATATTTCTAAAACAGGGTCACAAAGAGCATTTTTGTAATTGAAAACAGTCACACAAAATGAACATTGTGACAACGACAGGGCCGTACCCAAGGGGGGGGGGGGGGTTAGGGAGTTAGGATCTCTTATTTTAATTTAAAATAAAAACGTGTACTTAGAGATTTTTGATTTTTAATCCGCCTTCTTTCATTTCATTTTCATGGGCCAACAAGAAACCCCCCCCGAAATAAAATTCTGGTTACGACCCTGGACAACGAAAACAACGAAAAAAAACTCTTATGCTTTTTTATGCGCTTTCCCTTACTTATGCTGTGTTCACTTATTTGTTCTTAAGCTCTTTCTTTTTCTTATTATTAAATCGAGGGGCCGTTAATTTGAAAAAAATGTGTACAACTAATTGCAATTTCAAAAAAATTTCCCCAAATTCGAGTACTTAATTCCAAAAAAATTCAGTAATTCTAATAACCCATCGTAATTTCATTTTTTTCCGATTACTTCCTATAATTCCTGTAATTCCAAATTAATTCCTGTAGCGCCAACTTAATTCTTGTAATTCCAACTTAATATCCGTAGTTTCAAAATAATTCCTATACTTACAAATTAAATAGTTCTAAGAAATTCAACTTAATTTTGAAAAGAAATTATACAGGGTGTTCCGTTTTTATTGTTACAAATTTAAGCAGGTGATAGAATATTCAATTTTAAGATAAAAGTTTCCTATAAACATGTATCGAAAAATATTAAATAAGGGAGCTACATCCCCTGAAAGGGTACATATTTTAATGGATTTTTCCAATATTTCAGCAACCATTGTAGATAAAATTACAAAATTTGGTACAACTGATACCTAATCTTTATACCTACAAACGAAATCGAAGATAAAATTTCAAAATTTTACTCATGGGCGTCCTAAACTGGGGGGTTAAGGGTAAAAAGTACCCTAACTATTTTGGTTGTTGGTTTTTGCCAATTTCAGCTACAAAATTCTAAATCTCATAGTTTTTCACAAAAAAGAGATTTCTTGAGTTTTTTCGATACAACTTACCATTTTTGAGTAAAATCAGTTTACAATATGTGTTACAGACCATAAAGAGGATAAAAAATTAAAAATTAAATTTGTTTAACCGTTTAAGACACCCGTGATTAAAACTTTCGACAACTGATTTTTGAATTCGTTTAGGTGTTTAAAGGTTATCAGCTGTACCAACTTTTGTACTTTTATCTATTCTGTAATAATAAGAAAACCCCATTAAAAAACGCATGTCTTTCAGAGGGTGTAGCTCGCTTACATAACATTTTTTAATACATGTTAATAGGAAACATTTCTCTTAAAATTGAATATTCTATCACCTGTTTAAATTTGTAACAATAAAAACGGAACACCCTGTACATATAAGTGTCCTTGAAGTTCAGCGCTCGCACAGCGTACTCAAATGCAACTGCGTCACCAATATGGTATTCCAAGTAACTCTGATAATTCCAAAAAAAATTTGAGCAATTCCAAAAAGAATTCTAGTAATTCTAAAAAGAATTCCAGCAATTTAAAAAAAAAATTCAATAATTCACATATAATTCCAGTAATTCACGTATAATTCCAATGATTCACAAGTAATTCCTAACAATCCAAAGATAATTTGAATAATTCCAAATAATTCAAAACAATTACCGATTAATTTCCAACTAATTCCAGAGTGAACGGCCCCTCGGCTTAAATACTAATTTTCAGCCAAAGTATTGCAATTTGTGCTATTTCCAATCGCTTTAGGTCGATTTTAAGCCAAAAATTAACCTAAATCAATGTGTCTAAGAAAAATAAATAAAAACAAATTTTTAGCCAAAATAAAGCAATTTGTGTTATTTCCAATCTATTTGGCTTAATTTTAAACTAGAACTCAAACTAAATTAATGTATTTCAAAAAAATAAATATTTCAATCCCAATTTTCGGTCAAAAAAAGCGATTTGTGCTATTTAAAATTGATTTGGCTCGATTTTAARTCAAAACAAAATAAATGGTTAAATAACAATTCTCTGCCAAAATAAAGAAATTGGAGCCTTCCAATCCAATTTTGCTCAATTTTAACCCACAAATAATTATAAATTAATTGCTTAAATAACAGATTTTTGTCAAAATAAAGCAATTTGTGCTATTTCCAATAGATTTAATCCAATTTAAAGCCAGAAATCAACCTAAATCATCCTATTTCAAAAAAATAGATGCTTAAATAACAATTTCTAATTTAGCTTGCTTTTAACACAGAAATAATTCCAAATCAATGCATTTTATAAAATAATTGCCAGAATTTCCTAAATATTTTTATAAAATACATTGATCTAAATAAAATGATTTTTGAGTTAAAATCGAGCAAAATTAGATTGGAAATAACTGAAATTCAAGGTGACCAACCTTCCTGATTTAGCCAGGATATGTTTAGGTTTTTGTTGTCTTGTCCTGTTTTATGTTTATGTCCCGATTTAGGGTTAAACAAACCTAAGTGTGCAGTTTTTTGAAACTTTAATTTGCAGAAAAAACTGTCTTTCAAGTTAAAAAGTTTTCTTTTTGACGTCATTTCAAATGTAATCATTGTGAAAAAACTCAACTTACTGAAAGTAGAAACACTTAAAAATCGCTTTATAATGACCAAATGAAATATTAATTTGGCTTCTATGTATAAATTAAAAAAAATGTTTGCAAAAAATGAAGGGACTTTCAAAGCAATTCATACTGAAAAAAGATTGAAATTAACACAAAACAGTGAATTAACAATATGTTAATTATTTGATTAGGGTCCAAATGTTTTTTTTTTGTTTTTCATGTCAATATTTTGCATCCTATTCTTATAATATTATAGTTACATTAATAGGACCTATTTAATTTTTTATTTTGTGTTCTGGAATACAGTTATAATTATTTTTAATGATGTCCCGATTTTCAAATTACTCAAATTGCTTTATTTTTGCAGAAAACTGTAATTTAAGCATTTATTTTTTGAAATACATTGATTTAGGTTGATTTCTGGCGTAAAACCGAGCCAAATCAATTACAAATAGCACAAATTGCTTTTTTGTTTCAAATACTTTTTTAATCCTGTTTTTAGACGTAACACTACTTGTGATTTTCTCACAGGTCATGTTTACAACCCATTTATTAGCCTCAGCACCGCTTGCCATATATCAGCATCGACATTAACAAGTCATAATCGCTTTATTTCTGATAATAATGTGTCGTGACTCGAAACGGTCCATTTCTTAACAAAAGTCTTGGTGATTTAAACCCGGCGACACATTTGTGGATGTTAGTTAAGCCTTTAGACAGGTCAGGTGTTCGGCCACATGATGGATGTGGTTCCCCTGCTGCTAGAAACAATCCAGCACCGAAATGCAGGTGGTGTGGCAAAACTTGCTGCATTTCCGTCCGAAGCAATTAAACTGGATGCTGTCGGCAATTATACGCAGTGATGCAGATAAAGCCATCACGGACTCGTTCGTTTTTTTTCGATTCCGAGTACAATCATGAGATGACGACGATAAAACCGTGAACCTGCCTGCCATCAACAGAAAAGCTTTCTTTTAACAATTGGATCGGGACAACAATGCTCTCTGACACTTTTAATTTTAGGAACGTCTAACATAAAGCGATACGGATTATTTTCGGTTACGTTGCGAGATTTTGCTGCAGGTTTGCTTTGTTGTGAGGTGTTGAAGGCTGAGGTGTATTGTTCAGTCATGTGCACTAATACTCCAATAATGGGGACGTACCTGGACACTCGAAAGAAATAACAAAATGGAAAAAAGATGTAATGAATAGTGTATACAGAAAAACTTGTTCTGGCGCACAATACGGCCAAATTTGCTTTGAGCACAAGAGACAAAAAATTACACAATTTCAGCAATTACACAAATTCCTACTTCCTACAATTCTTTTGAAATCGTCAAAACAGTTCAATCGCTTTTGTCATGATTTCATAACATTTAAACTCTTTTGCGGATGTATACATTTGTACAGAACGAACACTAATTCAAAAAGTTTAGGTTTGTTTAAAATTGCACTATATCTGTTTATTTAAAATAGTTTCTCAAGAGAAATCAGTAATTAGACACACAATTTTTTTTTTTGAATCAGTGTTTTGTAGTGATAGTACACATCCCTCTTTAAAATATATATTGCTAATAATTATTATTTATTATTTATTTATAATAATAATTTATTCTTGCCAGAGTGTGCATTAGTACTGGGATTGAATTGCCCAGCGACCTGGTCCCCGCCCTGGTCCAAGTCTCCGGCTTGGCCCTGGCCCTGGCCCCGGCCCCTACCTCGCCCTCGGCCCCTGCGACGACTATAAAATTTGAAATTAGAATATATTCAGGACTTGAAACTAAATAAATACCGTTTTAATTTACCACCGGTCGGTGGTGGTGATGGTGCTGGCGTTGGCAGTGGTGGCGACATTGATGGCGGGGGCGGCGGAGAAGCCGATGACGGGGGCGGTGAGGAGCTTGGATTTCGCCCATAATATTTGGCGTAGTGAGTCTGAAAAAGTGTTCATAAAAAAGTTATTACTAACTACTCTGTTAATATAAAAAAAAAGAAAAAAAAACAAGTAACAAATACCAATTTCAATTAATTTAACATTTTGGTACCAATTAAAGATATATTTTAAAGGGTTGACCAATTACAAGCGATTGAAAAAACAAATTAGCTCATGTTCTTCTTTGTAATTATCCCTCATCTCTTATTTACATTTAAAATTCATATACAATGTGAACAAAAAAGTATGAAACCAAGTGGTCTTTTTTAAATCATTTGTCCTCAGAAAATAATAGGAGTGATATAAATAAAGTGCTGTAAAAGATAAAATTTTGTTTATTTATGAGTTGTGGGTTATTTTTGACAAAATGGCTACTTTTATGAAAAAACAATTGAAAAAAATTAAATAAAATGTAGATAGTAGTAATCCTTAGATACAAATAAAGGTTGAATAGTGGGTTATTATTTAGATAAAAATAATTTTTCGGAACTCAAAAACAAACAAAAAATTTGAAAATTTTGAAAAATTTTATTCTTGAGAAAACGTCACATTTTTGTAGTACTTTATCATTCATCAACTTTTTCAAAAGGTAAATAGTTTAAGCAAAAAACGTTTGGTTCCATACTTTTTGTTCAGTTGGTTATTTTTCCCAAGATCAAGATTTTGGATATACAGAGAAAAATGCCATGTGAGGTAAGATACCAGGAACATGGAAAAAATGTTAAAAAATTCTACCTATAAAAATTTCGAAGTTATAAGAGTTTAAATTTTGCACTTTGACTATTTATTTCTGTTGGAAAAATAATTTCCCTTTTTTTTTTGCTACAAACTATTAGAAGAGGGAACAAAGAAGCTGTATCCTAAAATTGTAACTTAATGTTATTTGTGGCTTTTATTGGCAAAATTTTGGTAGCTTTACCTAAATAGACATAAAAATGTCAAATGTAAAAAAATAAATGTCTAAATTTTTTGACAGAATTTTTAAAACATTTTTCCATGTTCCTGGTACTCGTATCTTATCTTACTTGAAATTTTTCGCTGGGGCGCGAGTTCTGACACACCCTGTATGTAGGTAGGTATAGTTGAAAATAATTTTAGGCGATGAACTAGATTAGTATCTATCAATGTCCTATATATATTTTTTATTTATCATTTAAAGGTCACTAATGGACTTTTTCAACTCGCTGGGACAATCTGTACCCATAATCTATCGTTTGCACTAGCAAAAAAAATTTTTAATCAATTAGAAATATTTATTTTTGTGTCGACAGTAAAACTTGGGACAGCTTGTATATTGAAAATATAACATTTACAAAAATTAAATCGATCTATTCGAAGATTAAAAAAAAAAACATAAATCTATGAATTTTGTGCGCTAGTTTTGGTTCAACCTGTACATACATGCTTCAGTGTATTTTTATATCAAGTATACAAACGCATCACTCGCATTAGCTTTTTAGCCTGCTTGTAGCAGATACAATTTCAAGATTCAATTTATCTAAATAATTTTTTTTGTCAATTATTTCAAGACACCTGTATATTACATTTATCGGAGTGAAATAAAAAATGTGGTCATAACTCAAAGAATTTATTTTTTCTAATTTAACTCGAACTTCAGACACTTTTCGATTCTCAAAAATTCATTATAGGAACAAATATTTTAACCATTAATAGAATTAAGATAGATTAATATTTAATTTTGTCATTATGAGTGGGACAAATTAGCCATAAAACAGGACAAGACAATAAAAACTCAAAGTATGTCTTGGCTAAACCAGAACAATTGGTCACCTTACATTAATTTAACAAGTTTTTTGGCATTTAATTTTGTAGAAACTTGTTTTTTTTCCAAGTTGATCCAAAATTTTTGATTTGAAACTCGATCCGCTGTAACCCAAGTAGCTCTTCAACTGCTTGTCTTCGGTTTCTGTCCCTCGCCATTTTGAACCACTGCCAGTGCATAATGGCCCGTAAATCGCCTAATTAAGGCCAAGCAGCCAACCGATCTGCTCCTCCACGGACCGTGTCTTCCTTAATTAAGTCATTATCACGCGCTCGCTTTTGTGTGACGACCAAATCGGTTCGGTCAATATTTGTGGTTGTGGTATCAGCGACCCGAGTCAACAATTTCCTGCTTTATTTGCCTTTTAAAGTGTAGATGTTAAAACAAACCTACTACCAACTTCACTAAACAAACACCCGACTATTGTAAATCTATACAAACAGACGGCCAGTTTGTCCAACTTGTTAGATCGTTTATTTCGAAATTATTAACGATATTTCCTGACAGATTCTGCTTTATTATTAGGGTGCAGGTAGTTTGTGTCCCAAAAAAAATCTTCAACACTCCCCACTCAAACTTTGTCGGTAAATGAAGCATCTTGCACCCAAGGGCGGATCCAGGGGAGGGGCCCAAGGGGCCAGGCCCCCCCCAAACATGCCACCAAAAGCTTCAATTTTTTATATTTAAATTTTGATATAAAAACCTTATGACCTAAAGTTTTTTTTTAAATAAAAACATTAGAATTCTTTATTAATACAAATCATACATATACCGAGAAATCAAAATAATTTGTAATCGAGTCATTTTTGGATCCGAAAACGTACAGTTGCGGAATTAAAATTTCGGACAGTACTGTCATTTCTATAATGTAAACTCTAAAAGAACCTCATTTTTTACTCTTGCCATATTTATGTCATTTTGACTTATTTACTTTCAAAAATAGTGATTTGTGGCATAATAGCGGGGTAGTCAGCAGATAAAAGCGATGATTTAATTACACTTAGTTTAATTAATAAATTTCCTAAGACAGACAAATTGTTTAATTAACAAATTTAACAACAAATAAAAATAAGTTTCATTGTCACGTTTTCGGATACAAGGACAAATTATCTTGATCTCTCGATACTTACTTAGTTTTTACTAATTTAAAAAGGAATCATCAATTGTAATTTACTTTGGGCCACATCTTAGGTATCTAATTAAATTAAGTTTATATCTGTTTGAATAATGAACGTTACCAATTCGCTAGAACACCTTATACACAATTGGAAACCCCTAATTTTTTAGCAAATTCGATAGATTTTTTAATTATCGAAATGGCAACACTAAAATATTATATATTACATAAAATTCTCAAAAAAAATTATCCAAAAAGTACAATAATATCAATAAAAAACAAAGAAAGAATTAAATCAAGTTAAAAATTTTGTATTTTTTAAAAAGAAAATTGACCTGTTCGAGCATTTTTCCAAAACAAAATATTTTCAGTTTTAATAAATAAGATTGTTCTATAATTTTGCCGCTCACTGTATACCCTCATCATTCTAAAAATTTTTAGATAGCCCCCCAAAATTAATTTCTGGATCCGCCCCTGCTTGCACCACATGCTGGTTGTGGCGTTTTAATTGCTTTATATCTCTTCTAATTAAAGTGGAATTGAACCTATTTATATTTGTGACCGCTTGTTTCTCGTCTATTACTCCCCTACATCATTAGATTAAGTAATTAGCCGTAATAAATGCCAGGAAGTGTTTTTTGATTCGGATTTATTTGAGGACGCTAATGCACTTTTTTCTTATCTTATCGACTCTCTAATGGAAGCCTGGATGATATTCAGATCCGATTTAAAAATAGAAGATGACAAAAAACTTATTTTTTTCATCTTCCTCTGCACCTGTTGCCCTGTTATTATGAATTTCACGAAAGCATTACAGCGTAATATGCATTAGAGCACGTTCGAATAAAATTCTGATGTAAGGAGTATCTTCATATCCGTCGTTAATAACAAGTAAAATGTGACCATGCATTCTGGTCATAAATTACATCGCGTTGTATGTCGGATTGCATCTTAATATCTACGTGACCACAAACAACCTTCAGTAGCGTTGAGCGACACATAACGCAGACTTGCAATTGGTAATCGGTACAAATCAGTAACACGTGACGTAGAGTCAATAATTAATCAGTAATGAGCTGTTATGACGTTTCCCGATGCACCAAGAAGTGATTAACAATAATTGCGTCTTGATTGAGTTGTTAACTGCACGAGAGCTGGAAATGGGCAAAATTGGTTTCGCCTTACAAGAACTGGAGGTTTTGTGTAACAGAAAACTGGAACTGATGGTCTCTCTTACTCAAAATGTGTCCTTAACACAATTCAGGCTTTTTTGTGTGATAAATAACATTTTTTTAATATTATTGCAGTTTGCGAACAACATGATTGTCTGAAATGTGGACCAAATTGTTTCTTTGTTTCGAAAATTTAATTATTTAATGAAAATTTAGGGTTAGTTTGAAAAAAGTAGAATACTCATGACTGAAATAAGTTTCAGAATAAGTTTTTAAACTCACTTTTTGGACCACATTTTGGAAAACTTGTTAAATTATGATCTTTATTTAAATTCAAATTACGAATGTTTTTTCTCATAGCATGAGCTTTAAGACAACTTATAAAAGTAACAAAATAAGAAACACATTCTTTTATACACTTAAATAAATGTCTACTTTATTGACGTGTTAAAGTCTATCTCTCGCATACAATGTGGGTAAGTATCGAATCCTAAATATTATTTTTTATAAACAATGTTTTCTATATTTTTAACACAAATCTGTACCTACATACAGGCTGTCCCTGTTGAAAAAGTCCATTAAATGGTAAATTAAAAAGAAAAATTATATAGGACATTAATAGATACTAATCTAGTTCATCGCCTAAAATTATTTTCAACTATACAGCGTGTTTCAAAAATAAGTTACAATAAAAACTTGTCTTTTTTTAAATGAAACACCATATGTTTCTTAGCGTTTTTGGATGTAGATTTTTATGACAACGTTTTTAAGCTAAATTTTTATTGGTCGATTTTGCTTGGTTTTAAAAATAAGACGATTTTTTGAAGAAAACATGCACTTTTTAAAAAATTATTACACAAAAACTAAGACATCTAGAGATATTTTTTACTACCGCAAAGAAGAAGGTAAAAGCTATAAGGTAGTAACATT